AAGAAAGAAAAAAATTGAAAGAAAGGAAGAGAGAAAGAAGGAAGGAAGGAAGGAAGGAAGGAAGGAAGGAAGGAAGGAAGGAAGGAAGGAAGGAAGGAAGAAAAGAAAAGTGAGACTTGAAGTTCATCTCCTGAGGTAGAAACCCAGTGTTGCAGAATCATATTTCCCCAAGTGTGTGCTTTACATTCTTTGTCTAAATTTAAGTGTGCATTTTCTCACTTTATTTCTGGGATCTCTATTCTATTCCTTTGATTTTTCACCCCTATTCCATGTCAGTTACAGGTGGAGTGGGTATTCGATCCTCTCTGACCTGGACTCCTGGAGTTAAAAGAAAAAGAGTAACCTGCGGGCTCATGCTGTCCTGGGACTGTGTGGCTGGCAAGTTCAGCTAAGTCGCTGGCAGAATGAGCCCCGGGGGAAGCATCTCACAGGCTGTGGAACTGGGTGTGGTGCTACCAATGCAGTTCAACCCTGCCCCAGGCAGTTTCCTCCTAGCAGAAGTTAAATCTGAGTCTGGGCTACCCTTCTGCCTCTGCCCAGCAGGGGTCAGGGCAGGAGAGCCAGCAGGTGCTAAGGACAGGCTGGAATGCACCAGGGTTAGGCTCAGTTGGGCTGGGATCAAGCTGTTGGATATTGATAAATGCTTGCCATCCTGGGCGCTCAGGAGGCGGCAGGGTGGGTGGAGTGGAGCCAGTGCGCAGGGCAGATAGGGAATCCTGCCTCCCAGGGACCCAAACTGGGAACGCTTGGGGATCAGGGGGCATAAGACGCTTGCCAACAGCTGTGGAGGCTGGAGGCTGATCCCACGTGGGCGCCAAATGTAGGTGAATGCAGGAGAGCTCGTTTAAGGGGATATTTAGTATTTATTAGAATACACTCACGAAGCCGGGCGGTGCCTTTAATTCCAGCACTCGGGAGGCAGAGGCAGGAGGATCTTTGTGAGTTTGAGACCAGCCTGGTCTACCAGAGCTAGTTCCAGGACAGCCTCCAAAACAATACAGAGAAACCCTGTCTCGAAAAAAAAAAAAATACAATCACGAATAAACAATAAGGTAGCTAATAGCCAAGGTCTTCTGTTCTGCTCCAAGGAGATTGTTCTGGCAGTCCAACCTCTGACTACCACAGAGAGAGAGCTCCTCTATCCCTCGACAGCCCAAGGTCATAGGAGGAGCTAATGCCCACTAAATACATACAGGCTGTCTTGTCACCATAACTGCAATATAATCTGAGGTTAGTAGTGTAAACCTCCAGCCATGTTGTTAATCCTTTAAATTGTTTGACAATTTGTGGTCTTTTGTGAGTCTATATGATTCCCTGTATTGTTTTTTTAAATGGGAAATGTATCACAATGGCCATTGTCACCATGTTAAGAATGTCAGTCCCGGAGCTTGGATTGTCTGCTTCAAGAAAGCCACCAAGCCATCAAAAAGTCATCAACAGCCCAATTGTGCAGTGCAGTGTGCAGGGTGCTGAGTCTCACAGGTTATCCAGCTACAGGACCTGGCTGTGGACACCAAGAGCCCTGGAGACTCTGAGGACTTGTAGCTGTCCAAGAGGATGACAAGGACTCAGAAGCTGAGGTCAAAGTTGAAAGCAGGGAGGACTTCACCTCTTGTCACTTGGCTGCCTTCTTGGTGCCTTTCCTCATCAACTCTCAGCTCTCCATGGCCCCATCCTCCAGGTGAGCCATGTCTAGTCTGGATGCTGTGGCCATGCTGCTGCCCTGAGCTGACTGTGGGCCTTGGAGTGAAGCTTGAACACCAAGGAATCCAGAGAGAGGTTTCTGTGTGAGAGGTGGCCTGTTGGTGTGACACAGTGACTCATGCTCAGCTGCTCTGCAGACTGTAACAGTGAGTGCTGGAATTGCAGGAAGGCTGCTGGCCATCCCCACCTTTGAAGACAGCCAGGGAAAGCAGCAGACAGTGCCTCAGAAGTTAGTCACCTCAGGCCTGACCAGGACATGGGTTTTCTCTTTCCTGAATGTGCCCCAACACCACTGCTTCCTGCTGCACCTGACAATCCAACCCTGCCTGGGTGAAATGCTGAGCTCCCTGGAGGTCTCTGACTTCTTCCCTTAGTCTTTCAGGAAGCCTGAGGCTTCTGAGGTCTTGAGTTTGAACAGTAATGTGTGCAGTGAGAAAGACACCAGAAGGTAGAGTTGACTCCAGGTGTGGCTGTGGGTGCTCCAAGTGTGGCTGTGGGTGCTGAGGGGGAAATTCCAGGCCGTCCTTAGTCATGTCTGTGTTGATGGGGACTAGAGTGATGTCTTAAAGTGACAGAGGTTTCTGAGATTATTAGCAGCCACAGCCAAATCTGTCCTGGGAAAGTGAGGGTAAATTTGAGCAGCAGTTGAAACCGTTATATGACAGTGGAAAGAAACAGCCATGCTCACAGAGTCATAGACCACAGGAAGCAATGAGGCTACAAAGGGAAGCCGGCATGCCATGCTGAAAAGGTGTGGGGTGAGCATGTGTTTCTATCCATGTACTCATATGAGCATGATAAGACTAAGAGAGGCCTAGATGAGCAGCTCTTAATGTCAAGAGATCTCAGGGAGGAACAGCAGGAGGAGTTGGTTCCTCCAGGCAAGCTAGAGATCAGGACTGGTTAGCACAGTGGTGACAACATCTTCCCTGTGACAGAGACAAGGCAGACGTTAGATCACACAGGAAAATGCTCCTGAGGAATTGGGGGACAGGGAAGAAGCCACACTGAGAAGGGAGGAAGCTGCAGCATGAAGCCAAGAATCTGGGGCTAGGTCCAGGACTGTTGTTTCCCAGTGCAGATGGAACCCTGGGCAGCCTGTGAGGACAGCTGCTGGTGACTGGAGAGAGGACTGGGAAGAGAGTTGAGAGGAGGTAGAGTCTTCTGAAGGAGACAGGAGGGGCGGGACTAGGAAGTGTTCTGATGGATTGAATGGACACTCTTTATTAGAGATTTCTCAGACATGACAAGGGCACTTGCCTGAGGCACTGTATGTGGCGTTGGAATTGGAGAGTCAGAGGCAGATTCCTTTATCTCACAGAAGTGTGGGCTGGCATTATGAAAGTGTCCACAGAGTGGACTTTCCTGTGACCTTAATACAAAATAGGAGTTTGTTCAAAAGCCTACCTTCTGCAAGACCTTGTTCACCACTGGCAAGAAGGCGTGAAGATAGGACATTTGCGTACATACAACCAGGAGAATGTAGGAAGTCACAAGTTCACCATGCGAGGGGTTCACAGAGAATCGGTTTGGGAATAGGTGTGGTGATGCATGCCTTTAATGCCAGCCTTTGGGAGGCAATAGCCAGTAGTTTGCAGGCCAGCTTATTCTTCATAGACAGTTCCAGGTCAGGTAAGGTTACTTAGTGAGACCTTACCTCAAAAATGAATGAATAAATACGTACATAAAACAGCAATAAAAAAAGAGAAAATCTGTGTATGGAGGAAATTGTTAACTTGGGCCATAAGTGCAGTGGCTGAGAAAGTGCATTCTGCATGACAGGAGTCAGGGCAGGAAGAGTCTGCCGTCATCACCAAGGGCAGAGTTGTGTGGTTTGAGGTCATGACCTCTGCAGAAGGCAGGGGCTGGGGACAGAAATAGGAGGAAAGCAATGAAAGTCATAGTGGTTAAAAGCGACAGCGTGGAGTGACTTCAGGAAAATAGATAAGGATTCTGGTCCTCGTGATTGTGAATCCAAGATGTCTGTATCCTGGATAAGTGCCGTGTCTCCGTGGAGACCACTTTCCACAATTTTAGTGACCTTGGTTTAACTGAGGTCTGAAAATATCAAGTCACACAGGAGAGATAAAAGTGACATTACATTCTCGATTTTGACCTTTCTGCCTAATGAGATCTCTGTCCTGCCAGTCTATGCCACCTGGCACAAAAATCGTCCTCTGCCCTGTGCCCACCCCTGTCCAGAGCTGAGGTGCTCAGGGTCCACTCAGTGTTCAGATCCACTGTCCACACTGCACAGGGCTGAGGTTCTCAGGGTCCACTGAGTGTTCAGATCCACTGTCCACACTGCACAGGGCTGAGGTGCTCAGGGTCCACTCAGTGTTCAGATCCACTGTCCACACCATGCACATCCATCTTCCTGCTCTCATCAGCTCCTGTGTCATCACTGCGAGTGTGAGTGCGGGACAGACAGCTGTGGGTGGGAGGAGCCTGCTCTGTGAAACTGTTCATGTCTTTCTGTTAAATAATTTACTTTATTAGATGTGCTCTGTCAGGGTGTTTGAACCCCAGGAACTGGGGTTACAGACAATTGTGAGCTGTGAACTCCAGTCCCCATGGAAGAGCAGCCAGTGCTCTAACAGCTGAGCCACCTCTGCAGCCCCAATCGCTCACTTCTTCATGTGCCTGATTTATTAATTAAACCGGATACAAGGAGAATCTACACAGTAACTCATGGAATATGGGCAGCCTTCAGTGCTGGGCTGCATTCAGGCACTGCAGGGAAGGGGACAGCTGAGTTGAAGCTATGCTCTGCCTTCACACAAAGATCATCCTAAAACACAGCTGGGGTCAGGGATGCCTCATCAGGGAAGAAACACTTGGAGACTCTAGGTCCCGAATATGACTGTTTAACCCATTCATTCACATGTGGAGAACTCAGATTCCCAACCAGTTAGGCTTGGCAGTGTGAGCGCCCCCTGCAGGTGGACACAGGAGCCTGGTGTCTGTGGGAGTCTTGTGTGGTGCTTGCAGGTCAGGGTCTCTGCTTTAAAGAGAAATCATCTGTCCCCTGAATTCCTGAGCAGCTCAGGGTCATCATGGAGATTTGGGAGTTGAGACAGGAAAGAGCAAAACAACTGTGCTTATGCAGATGGTTTCCCTGGGATTACCATCAGACTGGCTCTAGGCCAGGGTTCAGGCAGACAGTGTTATACACAGGGTTATATACTGCTCAGTGGAAGGAGTCAGGGCAAAGTCACAAATCCTCAGAATTACTTTCTGTGTTTAAGAGCTGTAGGTGGAGTTTGAGTGGGGAAGTGTAGACTTTTGGTTTCACTTCCTGCTCTGTCAGTGGCTGTCAGGTTGGCACCCTGAGTGGCAGCAACCTCCCAACCTTGAGACTAGGTTCCCAGAGACCAGGATAGAAGTCTCTGTGAAGACAAATTACAAAGTCTATGACCATTCGAGGTTGTGCTTTGGCTCCCCCTAACCCTGAAGATGGGGATCCCTGTGCTCTGTGCCCTCCTGCTGCTGGCAGCAGCCCTGGCCTTGACCCTTGTAGGTGAGAGCGGGTTCCAGAGGGAAATGGCCTCTGAGGGGAGGGCGGGGGCAGCACTGGGGAAGCCACATCCCTGCATAGCCCAGCCAGACCCTCCTGCAGCTTCCCCACCTGTGTCCCTAGCCCGGGAGGAGGTCGGGATCTCACTGCGCGCCGCCCCCAGGCTCGCACTCGCTGCGGTATTTCTACACCACCGTGTCCCGGCCCGGCCTCGGGGAGCCCCGGTTCATCTCTGTCGGCTACGTGGACGACACGCAGTTCGTGCGCTTCGACAGCGACACAGAGAATCCGAGATATGAGCCACTGGCGCCGTGGGTGGAGCGGGAGGGGCCGGATTATTGGGAGTGGAAGACACGGATCGCCAAGGAACTGGAACAGAGTTTCCGAGGGAAACTGAGGACCCTGCGCGGCTACTACAACCAGAGTGAGGGCGGTGAGTGACTCCGGGTGGGAGGTTATGACCTTCAAGTCTCTACTTAGCCCCGTCCCAAGTCCGAAGTTTCTTCCCGACATGTGGGACCAGCAGAAACTCTTGATCAGAGAGGCAGGGACAGAGGCCCAAGTTCCCTTTCAGTGTAGAGCAATCCAAGGTTGGGCTGGGCCCCCAGACATGAAAGGTGGGCGGGACTGACCACAGCGTCCCCGCAGGCTCTCACACCTTCCAGCATCTGTCTGGCTGTCACGTGGGGTCGGACGGGCGCCTCCAGCGCGGGTATGAGCAGTTCGCCTATGATGGCAACGATTACATCGCCCTGAACGAGGACCTGAGGACTTGGACAGCTGCGGACACAGTGGCACAGATCACTCAGAGCAAGTGGGAGGAGGCTGGTACTGCAGAGAGAATGAGGGCCTACCTGGAGGACGAGTGCGTGCAGTGGCTCCGCAGACACCTGGAGAACGGGAAGGAGCAGCTGCTGCGCACAGGTGCAGGCGCCCAGGGCAACTCCTCCCTCTGCCCTCGGGCTGGGCTCGGTCCTGAGGAAGAAGAGACCTCACCTGGGGTCATGCCCCTTTCTCTACTTATTTTTAATTTTTTAACTTTATTACAGAATAAGTCACACTCTAAAATTAATCAAGAACAAAGGCTATACATCTCAGTGAATATACACAGTTGGTGTAGCCATTGTGAACTTGTGGAGATTCACATTGGATTTTACACATTCTTTATCAAATATAATTCATGCACTTATCTAGTACCAACACACAAAACAAAAAAAAAAAAAGAAGAAAGAAAATCCATAACAGATAAATAACCTCAAAACAATTAGCTTTATAACCTGTTTTAAAACTCAGTACCATACCGGTACTGTTCAATCCTTCCTCATCCCCAATATTTAGCCCTTCTTGTTGTCTTTTCGTCATGTTATACTATACACACATGTGTGCACTTATTTACATGTGTACATAGATTGTTGACTACCTTTGAGGAAAAACAATGTAGTTTTTCTTTCTGAGACTGTGTGACCTCACATAATATAGTCCATGCTAATATAGTACATCCTGTGTATTCTGTGATAACATTTTAGAGCCAAATAGTATTCCATTTTATATGTATGTCAAATTTTCATTATCTATTCATCTGTTGATGGATTAAAACCAATTATTAGTGACTAAACCAACAACAACCATGGGGTGTAAATATCTCACTAGTAGGGTGTGGACTCTGGCCAGGAGTGAAATAGCTGGGTCATATGGGAGTTCTATGATGAATTTTTTTAAAGCTGTTGAAAATGATTCCACATTAGACTACACACATTCACGTTTGCACACACACACACACACAGGAGTCAGTATGGCTCCTCACTCTCCACCTCCTCTCCAGCATTTGCTGTCAGATTTCTTGGTGACAGCCATTCTGACTGGGGTGAGGTGCTATCACAAAGCAGTTTAACTTTCATTTTTATTTCAGTATTTTGTGGTGATTAGTGTTGTACCTGAACCTATGCATGTGAACCACGTGTGTACCTGGTGTCTGCGGTCAGAGGATGGTGTCAGATTCCCTGGGCCTGGAGTCACATATAGTGCATCTAACCAGGTCCTCTGCAAGAGCATCAAGTGCTCCTCACCTCTGAGCCAACTCTCCAGCCTTCAAAGCAGTTTAGTCTGCATTTTCATGAAGGCTAGAGATAGTGAACTCACTAAAATATTAGTGGACCTTTGTGCTTTTTCCTTTTATTAAGATAACAGTCTATTCAGTTCTCTCGACTGTTGGATGACTGACAATGTTAGTTCCTTGGTACTTAGTTTCTGCAGTTCTCTGTAAACTGAGGGGTCTATTCCCTTGTCTGCAGTCCAGCTGGTACAGGTTTCCTCTATTGTGGCTTCTGTTCCCTCTACTAATTGTGTCCTGTGCTGTGCATAGACTTTATCTTCACGCTGATGTGTGCCCTAATTAGCTCCTGTGGTATTGTCCTATTCTAAGGTTCTTGTCTGCCCCAGTATCTGGAAGTGTTTCCCCTAGGTTGTCTTCTTGAACTCTGGGTGTTTCAAGTCTTGAACATAATAAGGTCTTTGCTCTATTTCAAGTTTACTGTTGTACAAGGTGAAAGGTGAGAATCTAAGTTTACCTTCTCAGGTTAAAAAACAAACAGTGCTGCAGAGTCACGTGTTGAATGGGATCTTTTCCTATTATTTATTTTTTATTTTTTATTGAATCGCAAATATGTGTAGGTTTGTCATTTTATTTCTAAGATTTCTAATCTATGCCTTTAATTTTCCTGTCTATTTTATGCCAGTTCCAGGCTGTCTTTTTGACTCTAGCTCTGCAGGATAATTTGAGGTTGGGAGCGTAGCCCTCCAGTAGTGTTTTTTTATTTTGTTTTGTTTTGTTTTCCAAGATAGAGTTTCTCGTTGCTACAGTCCTACTGACTTTGTAGGAAAGACTGGCCTGGAACTCACAGAGATCCACTTGTCTCTGCTACACAAACCCTGGGATTAAAGGAATGCTCCACCACTGCCCAACCTCCAGCAGTGACCTTAACCCTTAGGATCGTTGGCTGATCATGGTCTTTTTCCTTCCATATAAATTCTCTTCCTTATTTCTGCAGCTATGAAATACATCACAGTTTTGTAAGTATTGCAGATTATATCTATAGAGTAATTTGGGTAGTATGCCCATTTTCCCAATATTAACTCTGTCAGTCCAGGAGCTTGGGTTGTCTTTTCATCTTCTAACATTGTCATCTATGATTTCCTGTGTTCATATCTTGGAGTTTTCATTGCAGAGTTCTGTCCATTTCTTTGGTTAGATATATCTCTAAATGTTTTATTCTGGTGCAGCTGCTTTTAATGTTGTACATTTACTAATTTCTTTTTCTGAAAATTCACTGCTGGCATAAATAAAGGCTACTTTTTAATATTGGTTTGTGTATCTGGCAACCATGAGTGTTCATTAGGTCCAAGAATTTCCCTGTGGATGCAACAGGGTCATTTAAGTAAAGAATCATGTTTTCTGGAAATAGGGACAGTGTGACTTCTTCCTTTGCTACTTTGATCGCTTTTATGCCAATCTTCTGTCTACTTCTGATAGCTTATATAAAATCATCACTGTGTTAAATACGATGGTGGAGAGTGTGCACCCTTGTCTCCTTCCTGACTTCAGAGGAAGCTCTGGGTGTTTCTCTTTTTGTCATAATATCCACCTGTCTCCCAATCTCTCACATATGGGATGTGGGAAGTTCTATAGGGTCTCCTGACCCTTTATCAGGGACTGGCTCTCCCAGGGCTCGCCCTTCTATCAGGACAGTTCAGAGTGTCTCAGGAGGGAAGGAGAGAAGGTCCCTGAAATGACCAAGACAGTTCACCTTCAGTCTGCAGTGCTGTGTGGGCCATAGCCTTGCTCAGGCCCAGTTCTCTGCTCACACCTGAGGTCTCTGGGGTCTGAATTCAGTGATGCTGAATCCATCAGCCCCACCCACCAGTCAGGAGCAGAAGTCCCTTCTTCCTGATGTGACACCAGAATTCTGTGATCCTGGGCTCTCTTACCCATATTTAGAATTTCCCAAAGAAAGCATTATCCAGAACCCAGTGTTTAAGCTAGCGAGGATTTTTCACCCCTCCCTCAACCCATTGCTGACCCAGACCAGGACAGTTCACAGGGACCCTGCTGGAGTCCCCTGCAAAACACCTGAACTTTCCAACTCTTCTCCTCAGACCCTCCAAAGACACATGTGACCCATCACCCCAGACCTGAAGGTAAGGTCACCCTGAGGTGCTGGGCCCTGGGATTCTACCCTGCGGACATCACCCTGACCTGGAAGAAGGATGAGGAGGAACTGACCCAGGACATGGAGATGGTGGAGACCAGACCTGCAGGGGATGGAACCTTCCAGAAGTGGGCAGCTGTGGTGGTGCCTATTGGAGAGGAGCAGAGATACACATGCCATGTGGAGCATGAGGGGCTGCCTGAGCCCCTCACCCTGAGATGGGGTAAGGAGGGAGTGGGTGCAGAGCTGGGGTCAGGGAAAGATGGAGCCTTCTGCAGAGCCTGAGCAGAGTCAGGGCTGAGAGCTGGGGTCATGACCCTCACCTTCCCTCTCTGTCCTTCCCTTCCCAGAGCCTCCTCAGTCCACTGTCCCCATCATGGCAGTCACTGCTGTTCTGGTTCTCCTTGGAGCTGTGACCATCATTGGAGCTGTGGTGGCTGTTGTGAGGAAGAGGAGGAGAAACACAGGTAGGAAAGGGCAGGGTGTGAGTTCTCTCTCAGCCCCTTTTAGCAGTGTGCTCTGCTCATGGAAACACATCCACACACCCCATTGCTCCTGTCTCTAACCTGGGTCTGCCCTAAGTTTTGAAAAATTCCTAGGGTCAGGGTCCTCCCTGGTCTCTCACAGCTTTTCTTCTCACAGGTGGAAAAGGAGGGGACTATGCCCCAGCTCTAGGTAAGTGTGGGGAGCAGGATTGTCCCTGAAGCCTGTGGGTGAACCTGGTGGGGAGCCTGACCAGCCCATAATTCCTCCTGCAGCCACATCCTCTTAGTAACCTAAATGTGCCTTGTCATTTCTTCTGCTGCAGAAAGGGACAGTGCCCAGAGCTCTGACTTGTCTCTGGAGGCTTGAAAATGTGATACCCTGGGGGCCTGAGATTGGGGCTGAGGGAAAAAGGAAAGGGCTGTGTCCCAGGACTTCTCAGAATTTAGACATTTGAATGAGTCTCAGTGGACCTTGGAGATGTGTTTATACTGACTGTCCATCACTCTTTGTCTTTAGCTTCAGACAGGTGACACCTGGGGACACGTTCTCACTCACTCAAGAAACAACAAATGTCTGAAGCTGTCTACTTCTATGAAGAGCATCCAGCCCAGTCCAGTCCACCAGGACCCTACCCCAGCTCTGCTCCTGCTCCTGCTCCCTTCCACAGCCAACCTTCCTGGTACTGCAAAGGCAGGAGGGGACATCTCCATCCTGTCATCTCCCTGTAGCCATGAGATGCAGCCCTTGGCTTTCTCACTGAAAATAAAAATCTGGATGTGAACTTAATAGTTCATGTCCTTGACCTGAGAGATTGGCAGTTCAAATAAAAGGCGAGAATTCTGAAAGTGTGATGGAGAAAATAAATGGCAGCATGGAGAACCTTCTAGAATCTGTGTCTGCTGTGCTGAGTGTCAGCAGGGAAAGGAGGAGTCTGTGGGAGCTGAGTGAGGATGGGGCTGGGCCAGGTGGAGCTCAGTCCATGTGGGCTGGGTGTGGTCACCCCTCAGCTATGTCCTCCATGGCTCCTTTGTCCTTGTCACTTAGTATAACCACATGCTGGCAGACTCTGATCACAGGAATACATAGGTGACTCTGCCCTGTCATGCATCCAGGATTATGAGCAGCCAAGGCTGCAGTTATCTAAAGCCTGCCTTGAGCTCAGTCCTAGCTGTGGCTCTTTAACAAGCTCCCTGTTTATGTCTTGTCTTCTTGGTTTGAATGGAGGAGCAGCCCTGTTGTCATTCCTGTGGAGTGTGACCACAGGAGGAGGTGTTTTTTTCCTGTCCCTGTGCCCACAAGGACCTTGTACTCAGGATGTGACCCTCAGTACCCTGAGCTCCTGCCTCCTTCCAGAGCTGTTGCCTGGAGGTTCTGCCCCTCCCCCAGTCTTTCAGAATCTAACCCTTGTGTGTGGGATCTGCAGAAAGGACTGGTCCACAGGGTCTCATCTTGGATCAGGTCCTGTTGGGAGTGTGTTCTGCTCAGCTCCACTTCCTCTACCTCCCTGGCTCTGGGACTCCTGGTGCAGCTTCTGATGGTAACTCTATAACTCATAAGGCAGAGTCTACTAGTGTGGGTACCTAGGAAATGGATCAGGACCACAGGGATTTGAGTTATATTGGGATCAGCAGGCTAAGCCTTTTGGATGTGTGTGTGTGTGTGATGTAGAGACAGATGACAGAGACGAGAGAGAGAGAGAGAGAGAGAGAGAGAGAGAGAGAGAGAGAGAGAGAGAGAGAGAGAGAGAGAGAGAGAGAGAGAGAGAAGAGAGTCTGGGCAGTGGTAGTGAACATCTTTAATCCCAGCACTCCAGAGATAGAGGCAGGCAAATCACTGAGATTCTGCCTGGCCTGGTCCAGGACAATCAGGGCTACACATAGAAACCCTGTCTTGGAAAACAAAATTATAAAAGTTAAGAAATGTTGAATGCTTCCTCACAGGAAGATCAGTTGATTTCAAACAAAAGAGACATAATTAGCAGTATATGGCCTATTCATGGTGTCCATTTTAAATTCTTTTTTTCAAGACAGGGTTTCCCTGTGCAGCCGTGGCTTCCTTAAACTCTGTAGACTAAGCTGGTCTCAGACTCAAACGGATGCATCCCTCTCTCTCTCTCTCTCTCTCTCTCTCTCTCTCTCTCTCTCTCTCTCTCTCTCTCTCTCTCTCTCTCTCTCTCTCTCCTGATTCACTTCTGGATGCCACTTCATGGTGTCATGGTGACACACTCCTTTAATCCCAGCACTTGGGAGCCAGAGGCAGGAGGATCTCTGTGAGTTTCAGAACAGCATGACTGTGTAGAGAGACCCTGTCTCAAACAATAAAACAATCAAACAAGACTTCACTCTGGACAGATCTTACTATAGAGGGAGAACATCTCTCAATGAGGAGTCACTGGAATCCTGGGATGTTTGAATAGTACTCAACTGTGAGGTGGCCACACTTGCCCCACCACAAGGTGACCTAAAATAATTGTCTGCCACAGGGACTCAGGGTCTCAGTGACAGTCTGAATTCACACATGGGGACTGCCAGCCTGTGCAGGGCCTCCAGGCATCAGGTAAGAGAGGACAGACACTACATCCCCTCATCCTAAGTGGACTCATTGAAAAGAATAAATAGACCCATACAAATTAACAGCCCTGTGGGTAGTGAGCCCTACACAGCTTCCTGAAGTGCCTGTGGTGTCTTAGAACCCCCAGAATGAAAGTCCCATCTTTGTATTAAAGTACACATTTGTCCTGCATGTAAGAGTCTTTTAATCTAGGGGTCTTTTATCCAAAATGATCCACACCTGGATATACTGAAAGAGTGTGGGAGCACACTGATCCCCATGCTTGTACACACACACACACACACACACACACACACACACACACACACACACACACACACACAGAGCCAAGGACAAATTTCCAGTGGACTGGGGACTAGGAAGACAACAGGTAAAGGACAGTCAGTGGGAAGGAGGAAGCCTGTAACTGTGAAGCTACAGGGTGGAGTCAGCAACCAGAGCAACTGTGCCTGTGTCTCCATTCAGGAACAGGGGTGCTCCAGGGCTGGGTACCTGGGCAGGGACTTGGGACATGGGGAACCAAACAAAAACTTCACTCAAGAAAAGAGTTTCTCACAATCAACAGAGGAACATCTTCTAAATCTGGATACATCAGTGTTGGGGCTCTAAGGACTGAGGTTCCCAGTGGACCAAGGAGAGAATCAGACTTCACAGAGGGCTCTGCACAGCCTGTGAAGCCTGGAGCACAGCAGCAGGGCTCAGGGAAGGTGTCACCTCAAGGGCTGCAAAGCAGAAGCATCAGCCATGCTCTCCTGCAATGACCTCACACTCACACTCTCCTGTGTCTGTGTCAGCCTTCACCTACTATGCTGGCCACACAGCAGGCTCCCCAGCACTCATCACAGCATGGAGGTCCACAGTGTCAGTTGTCACCCATAGCTACAACAGATGTCGAATCTGCAACCCCAACACACACATTGTTGGTTCCTGTCTTCTCCCTTTCCTGCAGCATCTTGTGGTCCTGAGGGCAAGCATCTGACTGGGCCCAGAGATGCAGTGACTCTGTGCTGAGTTCTTCCTCTCACACGACCACTTGACAATGTCTCTTCAGCCTGGACACCCCAGTCTTCACAGTGGGGCTCTCCAGGTAGCATCAGAGTAGAAGGCTCAGCTGATGTCATGAGCTAAGTGATATAGGAGCTCATATTCCCTAAGTAAGAATCCTTCCACACACTGCCACCCCTCCTTCCTTTTTAAAGAGAGTGTTCACTTTACATCTTTTCCCTTGAGGAGAAATAGATTGACTTTTGCACTGATTTTAACTGTAAAATACAGACTTATCTTCTGCTCATAAAAATGGAGATGAAAGTTTCTGGTCCCTCTCATTTTAATTGTCCTGTAGGGACATTGCTGTTTGCAATGAGGTCTTTGCCAATTAAATTATTGGTGATGTAAGTGATCAGTAGACATTCTGTGGAACCAAGGTGCTTGATTATAAGGAATCCCGCACAGTTGGTTCATAGCCTGTTCTTTTTCTTTGTGTTTGTTTGTTTAAGACCAGGTTTCTCTGTGTAGTCCTGACTGTCCTGGAACTCAGTCTGTAGACCAGGCTGACCTGAACTCACAGAGATTCACCTGCCTCTACCTCCTGATTGTTGGGATTACAGGTGCATACCCCCACCACACAGCTGTTTGGAGATGCTGTTTATAAGCTACACCTGCCATTAAGAAAAAAAGACTATTTTCATCTTTCTATCTTTTCTTGCCTTTATACAAGGCCTTGTTCATTTGTAAAGAACAATATGTAACAAATGATAACTTGATTTTTAAACTCAAAATTCATTTAGTAACAATGTACCTTTTATAATGTAATTGGAGTAAAATACTGGCATTTAAACAAAGTATCATTCATGTAAAAGTCATATTATAGCATGTAAAATATAATTAGAAAATTCATGGTTCCCAACAGCATAGTATCTGCTGAGAGCTTGAGAACATGATTATAGGTTTACAGAGGACAGAGCAGAATTCACAACGTACATGATGACCCTCTGTTATACAGAGAAACCTTGTTTCAGGGGAAAAATTATCCAAATTGGTGTGCTGCTTTTATAGTGGAATTCTAAAAGTTCTCTTTTTTATAAAACATAATCATAATTGTTGCATTTAATGTTATTTTTGAAAACCCACATCATCAAATTCCTTACTGTTGCACCAAGTAATGTCAGTTCAAACTATAGAATATGTATATCAACACCAGCTAGAAACAGAACTGAGGACAGTATAAAGCCCTACAACACTTTGTCTAATTCATGTCAATTGATTACGGAGAACTGAAACTTTTTTCCCCAAATGCAGATTAGTATGCCACAATGGACAAGAAACACTACTAGAATTCTGTTGTAATTTTGCACCCTGGATAGATAGCAGAGAGTACTTTCATGCCATAACATTATTTAGCTGGAAATACTGGGTTGAGAGATATGGGTCTGTTGTAATCTACTTAGCATAACTTTTGTACAGGAAACAATTGTTTTATATTTGGAATGTGTTGAACAACACAGATTTTTCATTATCTTTGTGCTTTAAGTTTGGATTACCAATATTTTCAGGTGGTGTGGGGTAACCCTGGCTTCCTGGATGGCCCATAAACACGTTATGATAAGCAGTGTGTTTTCATACTGAAAATGCTCTTCACTCCATACAAGTGCTTGCCCTGCAGGTTTCCAGCCCACACTTCTCCCCCAGGCTCTCTGAGAGGCTGTGTTGGGAAAGCTTCTCACTGATTTTGCTTTGCTCCTTCTTCATCAGACCCTGCTGCTCCTTCTCCATCTTCTTTGCTGTTCTGTGCTGTCTTCTCTGCTTGTGATTTCTGCTTCCTCAGAACTGCTGCTCTCCAGGCTGCATCTCCTTCCCTTCCCAGGCATTGGTGTGTTCCTGCCAGGTATGTAAGTCACATGATTCTCAAGACTGAGGAATAAAAGTTACACTCTTGTAACCACTAACCTACTGGGAAACCTGTGCTACCATCTAGGAAATGAAAATTAAATGGCTCTCTCTTGCTAGAGATTATTTCATTATAGCTGGTGTCCATGTCCTTTAAAGAGTCAATTCTCAGTTGTTCTGCAGAATTCTGTTGCTTTCCCACATCCCCATTGCTCCTTCAACCTTTACACTTGTGGGTGCATCTTCATGCCAGGGAGTCCAGGGCTCCACGGATTGACTGCTTCCTCTACAAGATCCCCATGTAGGAGTGAGAATACTGTTGCTAGGCATGTACAGATTTTAAATAACGGAAACTGAATGATGGCCATGGTAAGAATCAAAACCTGGCCGCCACTCCCACTCCCTGAGAGTCTTGCCCAGGGGGTTCTCCCCTCCTCTTTGCTCTCTCTCCCCCATGACAGACTCTTGGGGAGCCAGCTACTGCAGCTAGAGCAGCCTCAAGAGAGGCCCAGACAAGTAGGAAAGGAATCCTAGGGACAGTCAGCAAGAACCTGAGCTCTTTCCAGCTGCCACTTGAGGATGCCACGTCTCATGTGAGCCCAGATCTAAAGAACGCAGTATTGAGTTCATTTGATTTCTATTGTAAGTATTCGGGGCAAAGTCGTAGTGCCCCGGGCTGTCCAGGAAGCCCAGGGCTGTGGGGTTTCACTTCTCCAGCGCCTAACCCATGCCAGTTCCTGCTGCCAGAACACTGAAGAAAAACTATGCAGTGCTCACCTTCCTTGGCTGGAGCAGTCCTGGACAATGATTGGTGGGTCGATCGTTGTGAACCGCCCCGTGTGGGTGGAGCGTTGCTGCGGAGCCACTGAGCATTGGTTATAGAGCCTGCACAGACTCAGAGGAGCCCCAGATCTCCTAATGGTAGGCAGCCTTCCTTGCTTGTTGTTCTTGCTGGCGGCCGCCGAAACCCTGATTCAAGCCCGCGCAGGTAAGTGCGGGGTTGGGAAGGAAACCTGCTCTTATGGGAGGACGGGCACACCGGAAGCAGTGGCCCTCATCGCCCAGCAAAATCCCCCCCGCCCCTTTCTCCATGCCTGTCCAGAACCTGGAGCCCTGCTCCCCTCCTGGCCCGCTCATCTGCCCGCGGTCCCGAAAGGAGGATCAGGGTCTCTCGCGGACTACACGCCGCCCCCAGGCTCGCACTCGCTGCGGTATTTCCACACGGCCGTGTCCCGGCCCGGCCTCGGGGAGCCCCGGTACATAGAAGTCGGCTATGTGGACGACACGGAGTTCGTGCACTTCGACAGCGAATGCAGAAGAATCCGAGGATGGAGCCACGGGCGCCATGGATGGAGCAGGAGGAGCCCGATTATTGGGAGAGGGAGACAGGGAAAGCCAAGGTCAACCAGCAGACATTTCTAAGGAACCTACGTGCCCTGACCGCCTACGACAAGCAGAGTCACAAGGGTGAGTGATTTCGGGTCTGAAATCAGGAACCCTCCAAGTCGCCAGGGTCAGGCCCCAATAGCCCAAGGTGCCAGGTCCCAGGTTCTGCCCAAGAAGCAGACTGGGAACTGGTTTCCTGTAAGTTTACAGGAGGTCATGGGTGATGGGACCATGATGCCCAGCTGACCACGGAGAGATGATTTCTCTTTAAAGCAGAGGCCCTGGCCTGCAAGCCCCACACAGACTCCCACAGACACCAGGATCCTGTGTCCACCTGCAGGGGGCGCTCACACTGCCAAGCCTGGTGCTCGGAAATCTCCCCTGTAAATAGAGACTTTGCTCAGCACTCAGGATCCAGTCTTCACAGCCTTGTTCTTACACTCAGACTCCTAGTGTTTCTTCCCAGATGACTGTCTGTGGTTCCAGGTGGTTGTGTTTTACACGGATCTTCTCTCCATAGTCCTCAGATTGTCTGTGTGGACCTGGGTCATCGTCTCAGCACAGTGGAACCCCTTCCCCACTGGGACAAAGATCTGGTGGAGACAGAATACAGTATCACAGCGATCCCTGTCTACACTGCACATTTCCCCGTGTCCACACACTTCCAGGGTACTTCCATGGTTATTTAGTGAATAAACCCCAGTAAGAGAGGAACTGTAACTAAATGTAACTATCCAGACTTATGAGACCCTGGACCTGGTAACCGTGGCTCCTGGGTTCCTCAGCCTGTGCAGTGTGGACACTGGACGGAGGGTGATTCTCACCGCAGAGGTACACACTGGGGATTCTAGGTTTCATCCCTGTTCAGTAGTGTGGAGAAAAATCTAATTTATAATTTTTTCGTTTCTGTGGATTGTGATTGATGTCTCCAAACACCAGCCACACATAACTGAAGTAGAAAGTGAAAGCTGAGGAGGGTAGAGAGTCCTTCCTGCACGGAGTCACGCATGACACAGTGTGTCCAAAGGGCTTGACCAGAGCTGTGAAAACTCCAGTCACCTCCCATGCAGGTGTCCATGGCGGCCCCACGCACTCACCGGGACTGCAACCACCTCTGTATCCGTGCACATTCATTTTAACGCTGCCTGTGTTTCACCCGCAAACGTCATGTTCTTAGGTTTCATCCTGACCCGAGGAGCAGATGGCCTTGGGCGGCCCAGAGACCCCGGGACAAACGCGCTCTGTCCCCAGCACAGGGTCAGACAAAGTCTTGGTCCCGGTCGGTAAGGTCCCGGTGGAGAAGCCCACCGCTGGTGATTCCTCTGTTCCCAGTTTCACTTCTCCAGCTCCTGACCTGTGTCAGCTCCTTCTGCCCGGACACGTTTCTCAACCCCATTGGCTGTCGAGATCCCGGAGAACCAATCAGCGTCGCCGCGTGTCTAAAGTCCGAGCTGGGAGCCTGGACGCCCAGACCTGATAGAGGGGCCATGGAACCATACGCGCTGCTCCTGCTGCTGGTGGCCGCCCTGGCCCAGACCCAGACCGGCGCGGGTGAGTGCGGGTCGGGAGGGAAACGGCATCTGCGGAGAGGGCGGGGGCGGCACCGGGGAAGCCGCGTCCCCGCATCGCCCGGCCAGACCCTCCCGCCCCTTCCTCTCCCGCGTCCTGAGCCCCGCGCCCAGCTCCTCTCTCGGCCCGCGCACCTGCCCGGGGTCCCGGGAGGAGGTCGGGGTCTCACCAGGCGCCGCCCCCAGGCTCGCACTCCATGCGGTATTTCTACACCATCGAGTCCCGGCCCGGCCTCGGGGAGCCCCGGTTCATCATCGTCGGCTACGTGGACGACACGGAGTTCGTGCGCTTCGACAGCGACGCGGAGAATCCGAGGATGGAGCCGCGGGCGCCGTGGATGCAGCGGGAGGGGCCGGAGTATTGGGAGAGGGAGACGCGGAAAGCCAAGGACCAAGAGCAGAGTTTCCGAGTGAGCCTGAGGACCCTGATCGGCTACTACAACCAGGGCGAGGGCGGTGAGTGACCCGGGGTTGGAGGTCACGACCTCATGTCCCTACTTGGGGACCTGAGTCGTCCAGGGTCCCGAGTCCGAGGTCCGGGAGGAGGAAGCGGGAACCGGGACCGGGTTTCCCTTTCGGTTTAGGGGAAACACGGGGGGGAGGGGCTGACCGCGGGGTCCCCGCAGGCTCTCACACCTTCCAGTGGATGCGCGGCTGTCACGTGGGGCCTGACGGACGCCTCCAACGCGGGTACAGTCAGTTCGCCTACGATGGCAACGACTACCTCTCCCTGAACGATAACCTGAGGACATGGACTGCGGTGGACGCTGCAGCGTACATCACCCAGAGCAAGTGGGACCTGGCTGGTGAAGCAGAGACACAGAGGGCCTACCTGGAGGGCGAGTGTGTGCAGTGGCTCCTCAGACACCTGGAGAACGGGAAGGAGCAGCTGCTGCACACAGGTGCAGGCTCCCAGGGCAACTCCGCCCCCTACCCTTGGGCTGGGCTCTGTTCTGAGGAAGAAGAGACCTCAGCTGGGGTCCCGCCCCTGTCTCTGAGGGACACAGTGTCCCTGGGGCTCCTGATCCAGCCTGGCAGGCACTGCACTGATCTCCCAGGGCTCAGCCTTGTCCCTGGAAGCTTCCAGATCTGTCTCAGGAGGGACCAAAAGTCTCCTTTACCTAATGGGATACTTGGATGCCCCTACCCTAGTCTGGTTCCCCAGTTTCTAGAACCTTCCAAACAATGCATTGTACAATATTCCTGTGATTGAGGTTTGCATCCCTTCCTCAACACAATTCTGTGTTTCTAAAATGGTCCCATGAACACTTTGGAGGTACCTTGAAAAAAACTTTTTTCTCTTCTTTTTTCTTTCTTTCTGTCTGTCTTTTTGTTTTTCTTTTTCTGAGAAAGAATTCCTCTGCGGCTTACATAGACCAGGCTGGTCTATAACTCACTGAGATCCCTCTGCCTCTGCCTCCCAAGTACTGGGATTAAAGGTGTGCACCAACACAGTCCAGCCTTTCTTTTTGTTAAGTTGTCATTTTCCTTTAGTGAGTTTTTCTTACTCACTGAGTGATACTTTTTCACCCTCCCCACTTATTATCATCTGTATCAGTCTCCACATATGCCATGGGGGACTGCTAACTGGATAATTAGACAACTCAGTGTTCCCTTTAAAGGAAACAGTCCCATGAGCTTAGACTATTTTCTGCCAGAATTAACTATCCAAACACCCACTGCTTTCCTTCTGCCTGACCAAATTACAGTGTAACCTCTAGTGAATTAGGAATTGAACTTTCTTGACTGACAAATAAAATCCACACACTCCTGTGAGCAGCACTGTGTCCCAGTGAGCACTGCATGGGGCTCCACAGCACAGTCCCAGGGACCCTGGGTGACAACACCTTGTATCTTGTCCCCCAGAGGAAAGGTCTGGGGAGTCATTTTCTCTGCCCCAGTGTCAGAGGTTCACCCCATTTCTGCTGCACACTTGGTGTTGTCTGTTCACTTGGACAGACAGTTATGCTGGTCAGCAAGATGGCCACAGCGGTTCTGTCTCAATGGCGACAGCATTATATTGGTGGCACCCTTTATGAAGCCTGTGCTCCTAATTTCTTATATTGATATGAATTTAATCACATATGTAAATTATTTTCCATTCCTTCTCCCATTCTTTTACCATTCCTTCTCCCATTCTTTTATCATGTATTATAGAACATCACCTACGGAAGACCATGTGACTTGCTGGGTCATGTGATTTTCTCTTAGTTTCTGTATCCAGAATGCAAATCTGTGATGACCTGCAAGTCACTTGTGGGATGACAGTCAGAAGTGTTCAGACACATAGTTCAATATCATCATTGATTTAACTTAGTCTTTGCAGATTTCAGTTAATCTTGTTATTGTGGGATTTCTTAAATCTTCCACACAGATCCCCCTAAGGCACATGTGACCCATCATCCTGGACCTAAAGGTGAGGTCACCCTGAGATGCTGGGCCCTGGGTTTCTACCCTGCGGACATCACCCTGACCTGGCAGAGGGAGGAGGAGGAACAGACTCACGACATGGAGCTGGTGGAGACCAGACCATCTGGGGATGGAACCTTCCAGAAGTGGGCATCTCTGGTGGTGCCTTCTGGGGAGGAGCAGAAATACACATGCCATGTGTATCATGAGGGTCTGCCTGAGCCCCTCACCCTGAGATGGGGTAAGGAGGAAGTGGGTGCAGAGCTGGGGTCAGGGAAAGATGGAGCCTGAGAAGTGTCAGGGCTGAGAGCTGGGGTCATGACCCTCACCTTCCCTGCCTGTCCTTCCCTTCCCAGAGCCTCCTCAGTCCACTGTCCCCATCATGGCAGTCATTGCTGTTCTGGTTCTCCTTGGAGCTGTGATCATTGGAGCTGTGGTGGCTGTTGTGAGGAAGAGGAGGAGAAACACAGGTAGGAAACAGTGGGGTCTCAATTCACACTCAGCCCCTTTTAGAAGTGTGCTCTGCTCATGGAAACATCCACACCCCCACAGCTCCTGTCTCTAACCTGGGTCTTTTGTCAGTTCTGGAAAATTCCTAGGGTTAGGTTCCTCCCTGGTCTCTCACAGCTTTTCTTCTCACAGGTGGAAGAGGAGGGAACTATGTTCCAGATACAGGTAAGTGTGGGAAGCAGGATTGTCCCTGAGACCCTTGGGGTGGACCTGGAGTATTTGCAGACCTCTGTCACCAATATTAGCTCCTCCAGCAAAATCTTCTAGGGGCCATGTTTTTACCTTCCAATGCCTCTGTGTGTGTGTGTGTGTGTGTGTGTGTGTGTGTGTGTGTGTGTGTGTGTATTCAGTGACAGTTACCAGAGCTCAGATATGTGTCTCCCAGACTGAAGGGGATTCTGGGATCTAATTGCGGGTGGCAAAGCAGACATGTTTGTGTCCCAGAGACTCCCAGAATTTCCTGTGAGTGAGTACTGGATTGTTGGGATGTTGTCTTCATAGTGATTATTCATGACTCTTGTTTGTAGCGTGGAAGACAGCTGACTTGTGTGGACAGAATGACAGACAGTGTGTTCAGGCCTCTACTGTGACATCCAGGGCCCCTAGGTTCACTTTTAGCAACAGTGTCTGATGTTCCCTGTGATCCTATGGGCTGAATATGAAGAACTGGGAGCCCAGTCCAGCCCTGCACACCAGGACCCTGTCCCTGCACTGCCTGTGTTCCCTTCCATGGCCAACCCTCATGTTCCAGCAGACAGGAGGGGACACATTATCCTGTTACCTCCTCCTGCTCTGAGCTTCAGGTCCTAAGTTCCGCACTGAAACTAAGGATCTCAATTTGAATTTGATTGTTCACATCCTTGAGCTGACAGGCTGATAGCTGTTAAATGTATTGTTGAGATACTTAGAATTTGAGGAGGAAGTGAATGGCAGCGTGGAGAACCTCCCAGAAATGTGCGCATCATGTTCTGTGTCTCTGGTGTCACAGGATGAGGCTGTGGGAGCTGAGTGAGAGCAGGGCTGTGCCCGGGTGCAGCTCAATTTGATATTGGCTGTGACATGGTCACTCCTCAGCAATGTCACCTCCTGGCTCTGTTCTCCTCATCACTTAGAACCACATGATGAGGTCTGTGATCACAGGGACGCAGGGATGGCCAGAGTCCTGTCCTGTCCCAGGAGTGTGAGCAGCCAGGACTGGTGGGACAGGTCAGCCTGGGCTCTAACCTGGCTGTAGCTCTTTACCCCATATTTGCTGTTTATTGTTGTCTTTTTACTTTTTATGGAGCACTAGGCCTGTTCTTGTTCCTGTAAGTGGTTCCTGCCTCCTTATCTCTTGTGCCCCTGAGTGACAGCATTCAAATGTGTTTCTCCTTCCTTTCCCATTAGAACCCTTCTAGGCCCCTGCACTCAGGAGACTGAGACCTAAGGACATGAACTTCTGTCTCCTGAGCTTCTGCCTCATTCCTGTCCTCTCCCTGGAGGTTCTCTCCCTCTTTCCCGTCAGTTAGAATTTAAGCAGAGTTGTAGGATGGCAGAGAGGAGGGATCCACAGGGTCTCATCTCAGATCTGTCCTGTTGGATCTGTTCAGCACTAAGTCCTCTCTCCCTCCCTGGCCCTGGGAAACATGGTGCTGCCTCCAGTGGTGACTCCAGGCTTAGTCTACTTTAGATTGATGTTTATTTAAAAGACATGATCCCTTTTGTCTTGTTGACTGTCCTTTGCCTTACAGAAGCTTCTCAGTTTCAGGAGGTACCATTTATTAATTGTTGATCTCAGTGTCTGTGCTACTGGCCTTATGTTCAGGAAGTGATCTCCTGTACCAATTAGTTCAAGGATACCTCCATATCTATATCTATATCTATATCTATATATAGTTTCTCTCTGGCTTTGGAGGCTGTCCTGGAACTAGCTCTTTCAGACCAAGCTGCTCTGGAACTCACAGAGATCTGCCTGCCTCTAACTCCTGAGTGCTGGGATTAAAGGCCTGTGCCACCACTGCCCACCCCCACTTTTTCTTCTATGATATTCAGTGTGGCTGGGTTTTGATCCATTTGAACTTAACTTTTGTGCATGGTGGTAGATATGGATCTATCTGCAATCTACATGCAAACTTCCAGTTATGCCAGCACCGTTTATTGAAGAAGCTTTCTTTTTTCCATTGTGTAAGTTTAGCTTCTTAGTCAAAAATTAGGTGTTCACAGGTATGTGAGTTAATATCAGCATTTTGAATTGGTTCCATTGGTCTCTGTTTTTGTGCCAGTACCAAGCTGTTTTCATTACTGTAGCTCTCTAGTAGAACTTGAAGTCAGGGATGGTGATGCCTCTGGGAGTTCCTTTATTGTACAGTGTTGTTTTGATTGTCCTGGTTTTTTTGTTTTTCCATATAAAGTTGAGTATTGTTCCTTCAAGGTCTGTGAAGCAAAACAAAAGGGCAGCCAACAGAACGGGAAAAGATCTTCACCAAACCCACATCTGACAGAGAGCTGATTTCCAAAATATACAAAGAACTCAAGAAGCTAGTCACCAAAATACCAAATAATCCAATGAAAAACTGGGGTCCAAAACTAAATAGAGAATTCTCAATAGAGGATTCTAAAATGGCTGAAAGACACTTAAGAAATTGTTCAACATCCTTAGCTATCAGGGATGTGCAAATCAAAACAACTCTGAGATACCATCTTACACCTGCCAAAACACCAGTGATAGTTTGTGCTGGAGAGGATGTGGAGAAGGGGAGCACTCCTCCATTGCTGGTGGGAGTGTAAACTTGTACAGCCACTTTGGAAATCAGCATGGCAGTTTCTGTGGAAAATGGGAATCAGTCTACCTCAAGATCCAGCAATTCCAGTCTTGGGCATATACCCAAAGGATATAAAATCAAATAACAAGGACATCTGTTCAAATATGTTCATAGCAGCATTGTTTGCCATAGCCAAAACCTGGAAGCAACTTCGATGCCCCTCAACTGAAGAATGGTTAGAGAAAATGTGGTATCTTTACACAATGGAGTGTACTTAGCAGGGGAAAAAAATAATGAAATCTTGAAATTCCCAGACAAATGGATGGAACTGGAAGAAACCATACTGAATGAGGTAACCCAGTCACAGAAAGACAAGCATGGCATGTACTCACTCTTATATGGAGATTAAACACAGAGAAAAGGACTACCAGCCTGCAGTCCACACCTCCAGAGAATCTAGGAAACAAAGAGGACCCTAAGAGAGGTCCATGGGTTGTGGAATCTCTCTCTCTGGCTAAGGAAAGCAGCTGAAGCCAGCTGTGTCAGGGATGTCCCTGCATGAAGGCCCAGAGAGGCCTTTTTTTTTTTTAACCAGACAGGGTTTCTCTGTATTGTTTTGGAGGCTGTCGGTCCAGCCTGGCCTCGAACTCACAGAGACCCTCCTGCATCTGCCTCCCGAGTGTTAATTTTGATTTTACTGAGATTTCAGTTCAGACTTTGCCAGGAGACTCATAAGATACTTTGAACTTTGGACTTTTTTTATAGATTTATCTATTTATTTACTTATTTATTATGTATACAATGTTGTGTCTGCATGTGTGCCTGCATGCCAGAAGAGGACACCAGATCTCATTGCAGATGATTGTGAGTCACCAAGTGGCTACTGTGAATTGAACTAAGCTCCTCTGGAAGAACAGTCAGTGTTCTTAACCTCCGAGCCATCCCTCAAGCCGGAACATTAGACTTTTACACAGGGTTGAGACTATGATTGACTCTGGGGACTTTTGAAGTTGAACTGAATGCCTCAAGAAACAACAAATATATACAGTTGTCTGTTCTCATGTGAAGAACTGGGGAGCCCAGCCCAGCCTAGCACAC